TTATCAACACATTTACTGGAAGGTCCGAATTTATTCTGCAAAAGGATTCTTGTTAATTAACCGACTAAATGACTAATATGGTTTGAAACAACATCTATTTATTTTCATCATGATAATGAGAAACACTGTTCTTTTTTCCTCAAAGTGATAAACCTGCAATGGAAAGCCTGCTGAGTCATTACCAGGGTCCTTTCATTGTTATTTTGGAATTTTCCAGAAATTTAAAGTCCAGCACAAAATAAATTTTATATTTGATAATGAATAAAAGGCCATATAAGTCAATAAGCCATGAAATTATATAGGTACACACACTTATATGACATAAACAGAACCTACGTTTAGGTCTTTAGAACAGAATATCCTTTATACAACACCCCTTTTAGCAAAGTATTGTTTTCAAGAAATTCTATTTACAATGTTTCTGTCATATATTCTCATGTCAAAGAAATGCTTGTAAAAATGATTTTGCTCATGACAGTTTTAGTTAAGGTGCAACAGATACATTGGAGTCAATGGCACATTACTTAATTTGTGTTACATCCTCCAGAAATAAAGTGAGCTGATGTCCTTTAGAAATTCATGGAATAAAGCCCAAAGAGGATAAAACATAATGAACATCAGTCAAAAAATGATTGCCAAAGATAGAAAATATTATTTCTGAAACCCAGAAACTCCATAAACTCACATAAATTTAGTTCAAAGGCTTATTCTGGGCTCAGCGGTATATTTTATTTCTTTAGAACAGTTGCAAAGCTGTTTAGAACTTTCAAAAACATCAATTCTTCTTTTTGACGACAAAATGGTGAATGAATTAAATTCAGAACTGCAGTTTGTGAAGCACATGGCATTTAGGATTCACAAAATAGAAGTCATGTACTGCTAAAAATAAAGTTTCAACTGAGAAATTCAGATTTAATTAAAACTGTGCTCTAGTCAGTGTTTGAATCCATACTACGAAAATCAACTCTACAATGATTACTGAGTAATCGTCTCAAATATAACTTCAGGTGCGGTTTAATGTTACCTTAGAGCAGAGTTCTTAGACTTACGTGGGCATGGGTACAATATTGAAAATTTGTTCAAAATGTAGAAACCCTAAGGCCTGGTGTGAGAAACAGTCTTAGAGCTATGGAAGGTCACTGAGAAACCATCACTTCTCCTCATGCCAAGGAATGAAGGACTAATGCATAGAATACAAAGGTACATAAAAACTTACATGTCTTTGATATTTTATCAACAGAATTACAGTATTTGAACTCTGTGCATTCAAACCTTAGACTCAATTACAAAGTGACTCCAAGCATTCATTTTTTTCTACAAATGTGGATAGCACCAAGCCTGTCTACTATTTTAAACTCAGAAGTCCAAGAATCTACAAAGGCAGTTGGGTGGAGTTTAGCCCAGGATTTTGGAGCTAGAAGAGAGGATCAGTCATTGAGTCCACTACTCTACAGGTCAGAAAATGAAGCAAAGAGGGGTCATCTGTGCTCCTTTGGTCAAAGACTTCAGTTGACGGGCCAAACAGAATCCAGGTCTTCCCATGACTCGGGATTATTTCAAGTTAACGAATATGTAATGTTTTCATTACTCAGGAAAGGCGTATGGAACTAATTTCAAAAATACTTTAAGGACAATACACTAGAAGTGTTATCAAGAGATAAATTGCTTTGTAGTTAAAACGTGAAAACTGCAGTCTAAATGAAAGGAAGGGAGAATAAAAGGACAATCAATTTTTTTCCAGCTCTCATTATACAAGAGATGTTGCCCCCATTTACCAATAAAAGACACTGAGGGCCACAGTGGCCTTCTGCAACCCTCTTTCCAGGGTCATGTTGCTGAAATATATGGAAAAAACAGTATCTTTCCCAAGGCTTATAACTGTTGGCCCTTGTACTACTGTTCTATAGCTGGTAGGAGGGAATACAGATATACAAACTAAAAACCATCACTTATTTTAAAACTCTTATTTCATGAAATAACAGACCATAATGATTTGGTGTGGACATTAAGCAAAAGGAGTTTATACGCCTCATTAAGATAATTTTCTGGAATTCTGAATCTATAGTTTATACATAATGGGTTCAGTATATTTTCTTTAGCCACAATTGTTATATCTTTAATTACTGAAATATGAATTTATGCAATTTATTTTTGAAAGTTGTGTATGCTACTCCCCCAATTTTATTCTTTAAAAAATATTTCGTTTTGCAATTTTCAAAATACAGTAGCCTCACAGTGCGTATAGCAATCATAAGACTTTGTCAATGTCTGATTTCTGCACTCACATTCAATATTCATCACTCTCCTCTACTGAAACTGTTCCCCACTAGTGGAGTATATTTTTCTTACTAGTGCAATGACATGTTACAGCACACCATCTATTGTTTGTGAAATCAATACTTAAATTGATTCAGGAAAAGTGTATGAAACTAATTTCAAACATCTTTAAGGGACAATACACTAGAATTGCCCCTAAAGTCAGTTATAAGATAAAACCAGAATTTAGATAACAATGATGGTCAATATTGTCATTGTCATCCAAATTCTGGTTTTATCTTATAACTTAACTCAGAATGTTATTTGATGCCTATGGAATGGCTAGGGTTGCTATGTTTCTTCAATACTCATATTGTTTTCTAATGGTAATATCGTAAATATAAGCCTGTATCTTTCTTTTTACAAATGATATAAAGTGCATTATGATATTTTAGCTGCTATTTATCTTCCTCAGAGAACTGCTGGTTCTTCTATGCTGTATAAATATTTCTTATTTTAAGGTAATTTGTAACTGAATATTTTGAAGATTCCAAATGCATATTTGAAAATGCTCTTTTCCTGGATTCTAAAAAAAGTTGCAATATGTTGAATTAACTCAAAGAAAACAACTTTTCATATGTAATAAGCTATCTGATTGCATGATTATCAACACCTATACAAGGGAAGAATAGCATTAACTGAAAAATTATTTTTATTAATGGTTTTTTAAATGCTTTCTTGTATGTTCACTTCAATATGGGTTTGAAATTGTGCATTTTCACATGTCAGATACAGTAAAGCAGTTCAATGAAAAGACTCAGAGAAGCTACAAGTCCCTCAACTTGCCCACATTCCCATTTCCATATTTCCAATTTGCTCCTCCTGCTTCAGTCAGTATCTAACCTTGGCACGGCTGCTTTGTCTTCTCCCTCTTCTATTTAAAAGGATAGGCACAGCCTTTGAGACTGAATGTCTTTCCCCACGTCTCATAATAGAAAATGAGGAAAGTCCATTCTGATGACTGGCTGCCTTAGGAAACAAGAATCTGGGATTCTTTCCCTTCCAGCTCCTGTTAAATTAAAGGCAGAGGCATCAACCCAATAAATGTGGTGAGACAATAAATGGAAACTGACATAAACATAGCAATAAAAGCCTACTTCCTTCTTGACGATCAATATACATAATGGAATGGATATGATCTTACACCATACAATATCAAAGGACAATAGAATTTGGGCTGAAGAAAGCTTAGAAACCACACTTTCCAGACTTTTTGATTTTCAAAACGATTCTTAAGATTTGACGAGAGTATTTGTTTTTCATTGTTTCAGAGAGGCTCAGTTTTGATCACATAAAATCAAAACAGAGAATTTGAAGGAAGATGGTCACAGGATTGGCTTAGAAATGTAATCCTGTGAGCTGTCCCATTTCATAAAGGATAAGGTTTCCGAAGGCTTCACCCAATGTTCCTGCTTTCAACGAGCCTGGGCCGAGGGTGGGCTCCAAGCTGTTGGGACATTTTTAGTCCATCTTGGTCTCTCACCTCTGCCTCCCCGCTCAGCTTTCGGAATGCCAGGCGGCTGTTTTGCCCAAAGCAGCCCAGTCTGTTTTAAACTTGCTCAGTTTGCAATCAGGTAACCCTCAGGGCCTATTTATACGTGGTTCTCAAGTCTAAGGCTAGGGAAGTTTCCAGGAAGCTTACTGTTACGGGAGGAACTCGTTTTGCTTTTGCTAATCAGAGACACAAAAGCACAGCTGAATCCCGAAGCTGGCACAAGGGAAATGGAGGTACTACTGTCCCCTCACTGGAGGGCGCATCACTTGGGGAGCGGGGAAAATGTCCTCGCCTTCCCCGAGCCTGGGGCACCTTCGTTCCCACGGCCCCAGCGGGTGGTGATCTCGACACCACGCTGGCCCGGGGTCACACGCCAGAGCTGGAAAGGGGAGGTCCAGCCGCAAGTAAAGCGACAGTGGCGGCCAAGGGCTGCCTCCTAGCCCCAGCCCCGAAACAGAGTGGAAACTCCGCGGGCGCCCCGGCCCATGAAGCGCTCTGCTGGTCCGGCCGCGGCCCCTCCCCTGCGCGCCCCCACCTGTTGTGGAGCTCCCCAAGCTCCTTCTTGCCCAAGTGCTTTGGAAACTGCCAGAGGACATTCAGAGGCCAGGGAATGTGACGGGCAAGCATAAATATGCAGAACGGATGGAACCAAAATAGTGGGCACGCAGGGCCGGCGCTCGCGGAGGTCGCGGATCCGGAGCCCGGCCCCCGCCGCCGCGGCCGCGCCAGCAGTGAGAAGCCCTGGCGGGCGGCGCCGGCGCACTCCGGGCACCGAGTCTGCAAAAGGGGCCCCGGGCGGGCGACCGGACACCTCGCAGACTGCGGGCAACGGTCGCTGCGGCAGCCTCCCTGGGGCTCCACGGACGACCCGTCGCCCGCCATCCCCGGCCCGTTCCTGCCCGGTCCCCGACCCGAGCCCCGGAGGCGCCCGCTCTGCCCGGCCGCGCAGCCCAGCTGCATGGAGCCCAGTGCGGTGCCCCGGCCGGCCGAGCCCGCCACAGCGCGGGAAGCAGCCACCCGCCACGGCGAGGGCAAAAAGAAGATGGCTGCGGCCGTGGCGGCGGCAACAGCGGCGGCGGCTGCTGCCTCACACGCACCGCTGACGCCAATGGTGCGCGCCGGTCGGCGGGCCGCGGATGGTGGTGGCGGCGGTGGCGGCGGCGGCGGCGGCCCGGGCTCCGGCGAGGGGCGGGGCGAGGCGGGGAGGGGGCCGGCCGGAGGCGGAGGCGCAGCCAGAGCCTGGAGGGAGGCAGCGGGGACAGTTTGTTGTGCTCGGAACATGGCGGGCCTCGGCGACGCGGCCGCCCTGGGAGAAGGCGGCGGTGGCGGCGTGGACGGCCCGCAGAGGGACGGCCGCGGCGAGGCGGAGCAGCTGGGCGGCGGCGGCGGACAGGGGCCCCCGCCGGCGCCTCAGCACACGGAGACGCTGGGCTTCTACGAGAGCGACCGGCGGCGGGAGAGGCGCCGCGGCCGCACAGGTGAGGCTGGTGGCGCTAGGCCGCGGCGGGCGCCGAGGGGCGGACTGGGCACCCAGGGCGGCGGGGGCGCCTTGGGACCCCAGCTCCCGAGCCCCGCGGCCGCGGCTGTCATCCGAGGCCGCCCAGGCTGTGGGCGCGCGCAGCCGCCGAGGCTCAGCGGTCGCTGACAGCTCCTCGGGCCGGTTCCGCGCGCAGCCCGGAGGCCCCGCGGCCGCGCCGGGCCAGGTGTGCGCTGGAGGGGTCTGCGGCCGGGGGGTTCTGTCCCGGTCCCTGCCCCGTCTCGGAAGGTCTTAGGTTGGCGGGCATCTCCCACGTCTCAGGGAGCCCAAACGTGAGATGCACACGGCTGATTTCTTAATTATATTCATGCCAAGGTGACTTTTTTTGTTCTGTGTTTTAAGCGAACTTGAGCCCTAAAAACCTGTTAACTTTCCCTGCGAATAGATTTTTCACAGACAGCTAACGGTGTGGTAGTGACCATGGTTCAGTAGTTTTGCCCAGGACAGAACTATTTAGCACTTCATAAAATGTTGCACCTGAACTGTTTCCAAAGTGAAACTTAATGTCAAAAAAAAAAAAAAAAAAAAAATGCTGGATGAGAAAGTGTGTACTTACTAAGACAACATTCAATGACCGGTTTTAAACATGTTGTTAAAATGTTACAGTTCCTATAAGCTGTAAGGTTTTTTTTCTTGTTTTTAAAGAATTTTTTTAAATTGCATTTGTATTCATATTACAATTGCAAATTAGTTTTAAATGAAAAAAAGATTTTGAGATGGATGTCTTGTTGAATATAGAGTGAATCCAACGTTTTAATTCTTGCCTAAGTCTAAACTTAAACAGCAACTGACCCGTAACTCCATTAAATTTCTTCCAACTAAAAAATCATTTCTGTTGTCCAAAAGGGGCTGTGTTAGCCATTATTTCCTGCAGTTCATGTAAATAACTGTTTAAGTTCTGAAGCTGATTGCATCATTTATTGTACTTGAGTACTGAAATTTTAAGAATACTTAAAGGGCCATAAAGTTGATCAGATGAGATTCTAATTGACTTGCTAATTCCCAGAACTGGACATAGGTTCGATTTTGAATCGGTCCCTATCTTTGGAAAATTACAAACTGTCTTGTTTGGTCTTTTTCAATTAACCACTTAAGAATTCTCAACCATACTTTATTTGGTTTAGTTCTAAGTTAAACATTTGCTTGCAAGAGTATTTACTTTCTGAATTGGCAGGATCTAAGTAAGACAAAATATCAAATCTCTTAACTCCCTGTTTACTTACTTAGACTTGAATATTAAAAGCGCTTTGTTGTAAATAGAAATAGATGGGGCCAGGCTTCACTATATTTTCTTTAAAATATTTCTCAGTTGCAGGAAAGCCACCATTTAAAAGCCCTTTTTTGTTGTTTGCATGGAGAGGAAATGAAGTTGTCTGGAGCCTACTGCTGAACATAGATCTTGAGCTTGCAGTGAGAGGAAATGAAGTTGTCTGGAGCCTACTGCTGAACATAGATCTTGAGCTTGCAGTATCACTTAACACTTCTTCCCTGGCCCTTTCTGAGACTGGATACCTGGGATGCGTCTGGATACCTGGAATTCCATGGGCTTCATTATACCACATATCTATTCTTCACCAATATGGTTCACCATGTTTAAGGCTGGATTTTTGTAACCCATAGTTCCAGGAAGTCAGTATCAGGGAGATGCCTCCAGGTTTACCTGTTGGGGTAGTCCTTCTTCTTTCCCCAGTTCCACTGGTTTTGTGTGAGATGTCAGGGGCACTCTTGCTTTACCAAGTCACACCAGCCTTGGTGATCAGGATTTAGGTGAGAATTCCAAATTCCAGGAATATTTCAGCTGGAGCCACTGGCCAGTGTTCCCTCTGGGCCTCTATTTGAACCCCTCCTTCTTTTCTTCTGGTGTCCCTGCTCTGCTAGTCACATAGCTCCTACCACTGCTAGTACCCAGCCTGTAGCTCTGATAACCACATTTGTTAGAGGTTTCCCCACTAGAGACTGAATTATTTAAGTCCTTCATTGCCCAGACTGCTAAGTCTAGAGCTTCCCTATTCCACTGCTCTGTAATCCTTCCTTCCCCTCCTTTTAAGAATTTAGAAAAATGATTCCCTAGGAACTGGCCTGGATCAGAAGGCCTTTGAGTGGCAGCACCTATTGTCATTTGGATAGCATTTATCCCTGAATCAAACTAGTCCTCCAAGGCTAGATGCTCGGACTTAAGGTATTGTCGGTTTTTTATATTCTGATGGTACCTCTGAGAGTCTAGCATCCCTGCTCTTGAGCTCTAGATCCCCCTGCAAGTTAAGGCAGCCTTTGGCTTTTCTTTTTGAAAGTCATAATCTAAGTGTCTTGGTGGCCGAACCATCAGTTAGTTGCAAAGTCCTCTTTATCATTTCTCACAAGGAATTTAGGGCTCCTACAAATAAGACATTTGTTGATCAGTCCCAACAGCCTAGAACTCCCTAAATAAATATACTTATTAGGTACTTATCCAAACCTTTTCCATCTGAATAAAATAAAATGTGGTATTTGAGATTCATTTTGTGTTTTATATCTTTCCTTGTTGATTTACATGTTTAGAAACTAAGTATGTATATTTGTTTGGATGAACAGCTGTATATGCCATATGTTGTGTTATATATATATATGTGTCTCCATCAAGTGTAAGCTTCCTTTTCCTTATCACTTGGTTCTTAGAACTCCCGTTCTGACTTATATTTAGCCTGGCAGTAGGCTGAAGCTTGTCTCAGATGCGAGTACTTATACCTTTTAACGTAGTTAAAATTGGCTGTCCCACTCATCATTCCTATTTTCATTTGCTGTCTCAGAATGGTCATTGTGTATTCCCTTGTTGCATATGTGGTTACTGGCCTTGGACTCTGCTTATAGTAGTTATCAAGAACTGCAAATCGATCTCTTACGTCTTTTTTTCCTGTCCTTAAAAATATACCAACTTCTGTTGTTCCTTTTGACATAAAACCAAATAATAAACACATATTATGTTTTTCTGCTTGTACTTCACTTGATTCATCTGCAGAAGTCCTTGGAAGGAGAGTTTCTGTATAGCCATATTTTTATTTGGGAATCTAAATCTAGCAAACCAACTTTGGACTAAGCATTAGGAAATCTGTGTTTTTGGCTTGGTTGGGTTGTTGAATTGCTTTGTAAACTCTGCACTTGCTTAGACTGCTTGCCTAATCCATTTGGCTCTGTTTTATAATGCCACTATTAGATAGTTCAGTATCTGAAGCATCTAGGTTGGTTCTAGTCACCATGGAGACTTAACAGAAGGCTTGGTGTAAATAAGGGTAGCACCTACCTGTGTGGATGAAACAATACCTGTGTAATGCAGATATTGGAGATGCATAGGGATAGGTATTGCTTGTAAAACGAGAAAGCTTGAAGTCAGGTATAGGTGAACATATTGTTTCTACTGGTAACAGTGCCGTAAACCTATTTCTTTGTTCCTTTAATAGTGACTCTTGACTTCTAAAACTTCAACTTCTTATCCATCTCTTTTGCCTCTCTCCTCTCCCTTTAACCATGGTTAGACCTCTTCTTGTTTCATGTCTGTTAGAGATTGAGCAGGAGCAGGAAGATCGAAACCCAGAAAAGTCAACTGAACTTTTAGTAATACCTTCAAAAGATTTTGAAAAGATTTTGAGTGGGACAAAGGTTTTAACTATTCATATTACATATGTCCTATTCTTTGTGTAGTTGAAAATTTGTCAGTTTCTTCTTAAAAGTACCACATTTTTATTAAAATATGTTTTCATTTAATCAGTTTCCACCATCCATAGCCTGTATCGCATAGTTATTCCAGGGGCCCCAAACTTAACCTAATGGATGATTAAAGGGTGACTGATTCTAAAATTATGATCTAGAGTAAATTAACTTATTTACAAAGAAAAATAATTATCAAACTGGGAAATGACTTAGAGTAACAACAAACCAGTCACAAAGTAAAATTAACTTCTTCTGACAAACTATTGCTTTGCTTTTAAAATTCTCACTTGCTTTACTTAATTAGTATGTATAAACTAAACGAACAATGAAAAGTTACTGATTTAGGTTTTTGATCAGTTCAGTGTCTTGGCTTTTTACAATTTTTAACTTTAACTTAGTTTACTCTCCAAAATTCAATCCTAGCAGCTCATTTGTGCTCCAATTTGGGTACTACTAGCATAAAAGACATCTCTAGAAAGACTACATAGCATTGACTATTAAATTAATGAAATTCTGTTCTCATTTGTAATCCTTTGCTTTTTAACTTTATGTCCTTGGAAAAAAGTCACGTTTTTTATATATGTGTTTTCCATCTGTACCTTTATAAATATTCCACTCTTCACTCCCCTAAATGAGACCATAAACATTTTTTTTTGAAGATCTTACAAACTTGAATATATTGTATAAAATGGTTCTTTTACTTAACGTTTGACTTAGGAAGGCAAAATTGCTGTTTTATTATTGATTCCCAGTAACGTTGATTACTAACTGGCCTTGTACAAGAGTGTGTCTCTATATTTGTTTAATAAGCTTATTTAATATTTTAGTGTAAACAATAAAATTTACTAAAGTTTTATATTAAGACTGGAGATTTGCATGTTTCATATTTTCCTAACAGTTAACCAATATTACTTTCCAACTTTTTAAATGCTCAATGCTACTTTAAGAAAGATATATTTAAGCATATTACAGAACATGTAAATATGATGACTCATTACTTTTAATTAATATTTTTTAATATTAGGTTCTTATTTCTAAAATAAGACTTCTTAGAAGATAATTGAATATTGTGTTTTTTCTTTTAAAGTTGAGGAAAAAGCAATTTATACTATCCTTTTTTCTCAATTTAAGGTAGTGGATCAAAGGGCAGTTCTGTGGTAGGAGGTGATCATGTAAAAATATGCTGAAGGAATTGATTTGGATTGACGATTGGTATTATTTTCCTAGTAGTTGACTGTGAGCATGGTGGCTCACACT